CCCAAGCTGGGCATGCAATCTCTTCTTCTCAGCATTCGCCACAAGCCAGCCCTCCATCTTCTCCCGAATATACCTCATCGAATTGAGAACGGGCAGTGTGGGGCCACCATAACCAGGAATATTACTACCGTTTTCTGTATTGGTACCAGACTCTAGCGGTGCGATCGACTCTCGCTCCATCTGCACCCATTTATCATTACTGGGATTAAGACAGAGGTCAAAAACCTCAGCCCAAATCTCACGCTCCCAATATCTCTTCAGAGACTCCTTGAGGCGATAAGTCTTTTTGGCTCCCAATCCCGCTCCCCCAGCACAAGGGATATCCAGCCCAAAACTCCCGCCTGACCTTCGGCTTCCATTCTCGCCAGCGGAGCTTCGATTATCGGTAACTGGCGCAACTTCCATGTACTTGCCAAAGAGGAGAATGTGAATGATACCTGCGAGTCCGTACAGATCGACCTGGTAAGTCCAGGGCCGACATTCCCGCATCTCAGAACATTCGTGAGAACCGATCTTCCAATCTGCAATGAACTGGACAGCCTTGGGGAAGACGCTCATATCTATTGCACGGCCAAAGTCAATGAGCGTTAAACCCTTTTTTCGCCAGCCGCCTGCGCCTGAAGGGGAATATCCTGGCTGAGTATCCAACTCAGAATCGTCATCGAGGAGGTTTAAGGGCGCAGCGCAAGGTTCGTCCAATCTGACGAGGCAGTTGTCCGCTTTGAGATCACCGTGGAGGATACCGCACGCATGGAGTGCTTCCACGGTACGGAATAATTCCACAGCGAAGAACATGACCACGCTTTCGTCCAGCCCTTGTTCCGTTGATCCAGAGGAGCCATTTGTCGCGGCGTTGATTAGGTCGATCAGGGTTCCCTGATTCTGGTAGTCTTCCACAAGATATCCTTCATCTTTGAACATATGCATCTCATGCGCTTTTATGATGCTGTCAGTCACACGGCTATAGCTAGGGGATGAACAGAGGCGTGAATGTGCAATGCGAAGCATGTAGAACTCCCAAGCGGATGGGGACTCAGATTCCACCTTGAGTGCTTCTAAACCCCGACGTTCAGTGTTCCGTCGAGGTTTAAAGGGGCTCACGCCTGCAGAAACTCGTTTCTTGTTGTTCGCAGTTAGCATATCTTTCTCCGGTTCAGAATCGGACGTGAATGTATCGGGCGAATCCACGCTTTCAACCAGGTACACTGCAGCAAAGCCACCTTCCCCTAGTTCTTGATTGATAGCGTAGCTCCTGTTGGCGCCGGCAAAACAGAGAATGGGAGGCGTTGCAGATTGTCTCTCTCCCCCAGCACTCTTGGTTTGCTTTGAGATACTTTTGATGTATTTGCGTATATCAATAGCGCGACCTGCGGTTTGGTTTCCGTGGTCGTAGTAACCCAGGTACGTCTGCAGTGAGGGATAGACGTTCTTCAAGACCTTCTGTCTGACTTGAGGGTCGATTGGATTGCATTGCAACTCGTCAATGATGACCCGCTGTCTGGAAGGAGATTTAATTTTCTTTGGAGAAGGCTTAAGCTTCTTCGCCAGTCGACTTGGGGAACTCTCGTCAGGCATGCTTGTAAATTGGGTATCATTTGTTTGGGTAAACTCATGGAATGGGCTGCTGAGTAGCAAGTCATCCATCTCTGGGATCATAGGAGTAATGGGAACAGCTTTTCTTGAGGGAGTTTTCGTGTTCACATATTTCTTCTCGTTGAATGCTGTGGAAGAAAATGATGATTCCGTCATTTCGACAATTGGTGTCATGAATGGCAGTCGGTTTTGGGCCACAACGGCTGCGTCCCGATAAGGTCCTAAAGGTGCGTTGTAGTCTTCTGGAGGAACGGGCACAAACCTGGGCTTAGTTTGAGGCATTCCAGCGGATGGCGTAGAGATCTCTCTTTGCGGTATAGATGAGGAATCGAGGAGATTTGTGGCTGTCATGGCTTCAGCATCACCAATATATGATTGTGTTATGTGTTCGCTTTGTTCATTGCTTCCTTCTCGGCTGATATTCGGGATGTGTCGACTGGCAGTGAATTCTGTCCATTCACTAACACCAACACTATCCGCTCGTGTATCATCCTCCTCAAGATCATTGTTTCCCCTTGTCTTCCTGAACCCGGTCGTTTCTTCGTCTCCAAACTCGCTCGCTGTTCCAGATATTCTGCCTGTGCATGTGCTCTCCCAGGCACTTGTGTAATCATCGTCCTCATAGTCACTCCCACAAACGCTTTCCACCCGATCTCTGCCCAGTTCTGATTTAAGTGGTTGATTGAATATACTATATATTTCATCTGTAGCAGCTCGAGTATGTAGAGTCATTGTGGGCTCTGATGAAATTTTGCGTTTTATTCTTGGCCCCGTTGGAGATTCCAGATTAGTTTTGACTGTAGTTTTATGATTAGTTTAGTTATTCCAATAAAACAAAACTTCAACAAAAAAGGACGAAGGAGTAGAAAATTAATCTCACTTGTCTGTGTTTCTCCTTTGACTTCGAGAACCTTTAGGCGCCTCAACTTGCTTCCTTTCCCATCACGATTATTTTCCGCGCCATGAGGATCTTCCTGTGGCAACGTTTGGTCATCGAATATTACGAGTTTTTCCTGCAATTGTGTTTCTATGTTCTTGTCCACTTTATCTTCTCTATGTTGGTGAGGTGGGGCTCTATACGGAACATTTATAGATATCTCTTTCAAAGCCCCTTGATCCTTCTTTGACCAGTCTTTCTCCATCCAGCCACGGCTTGACGCTCGTAATTCCTCAAGACTTATTTCAACATGCGGATTCTCAGGATCAGGGTACATAGCTTCAAGGTTGACAAACACCCGTTCAACTTTACCAGTCCTGGAATTGATTGTTTCCTTTTCATTGCGATGAATTTGAATATTGTTTGATATAATTGCTTGTGGATGTCCTAACGTGGATCGAGATATAGATGTCTGAAATATATGAAAAGCGCAGAAAAAAGCCAAAGGGTTACATGCCAGATATTAGTCCTGTGGTCGTAAACAAAGGACATCAGATATGCTTTTGAGTAACGGGGAATGAAAAGTAGCCAGCTTACCTCGTCCTTAAAGACCGCCATCTTTTGCACCGTCCCAACCCGTTTCCCTGATTTCAATGTTTCGCCTACCCATGGTTTCGCCTCCACCGTGTTCTCTTTCCTGCGGTCTTTAAGCGATCCAATGGTATCCCACCCTTTGGTTTCACTACCGGCCATCGGTTTCACACCATCTTGTGCACTGTCAACATCAGAGAAAATAGTCATTTTTGGTTTTCCCGATCTCTTCAAAGGGGGTCCTATAGCGGTTGTTGGAGCTGGGGCCTGGGGGTCCACTGGTGACGGCGCATCGGACGCAAATGGATCAGTTTTAGCCGCCAATGCTGGCCTTACTTTGGGCAGAGCGGGTGAAGATGGTCCGTTGGAGTCCCCTGGCCGCTGCTCAAGGCGATTTTGAAATTCACCGAATTTTCGTAGTAAGCGTTCAGTAGGTCGTGCTTCCCGTTGTAGACCTAGCTGATAAACCTCTTCTGCCTGGGAGAACCTCCCAGCACCTTCTAGCCAAGCCGCAAACTCTTCGTAGAATAGTGCAAGAGTCTCTCCAATCCCATGACGCGCCAAGAACGCAAAAGTTTCACGCGGTGCGTCAGAGAAAAGACGAATATAATGTAGCCAAAGCTTTAGATATCGTGGATCATTTTTATAATGGTTAGAAGACAAAAATGCCTTTGTTGCGCGTTCAAGGAGTGGGAGAAGACCTGATTGCGGCGTAGCCTGGGTCGACGGATATGCATCTAAAGTCCACTTCACGTAGCGATCGAATATGTCCAATGGATCGTCTGATTCTGCAATGGATTGAAGTTCGAGCTCATATTCTTGTCGGATGGTATCGTTAAGGGTTCTCGTTTCGTTCAATCCTGGAGACGATGCGGCACCACCCGATCCCCCAGAAAGAACTGCAGCAAGGGCCCTCGCTGACCGTCCTCCAGGGAGAGATTGGACGTTCTCTTTCTGTGCCTCAATCAGGTCGAAATCGATCAAGTCCCCCGACACCGCCATTGTAATTTCGGGTAATAATGTGAGAAATTATGAGGACATGCAAAATCCGGAGCCAAAAATGGTGAGGCTAGCCTGTTGATCGATTAGTATAACGGTTGTTGGATGACGAAGAACACGTCGATGATGAGGTTGAAATGTCAAGCATTTTCTTTCGATGTTTTCGTCGCTCGCGAAGCAGGTCAACAACAATTAATAGTTAATAAACTAACTCGTTAACTAAGGATGTACCTTACCTAATCGCTGGTTGCCCTGGAAACCAGCACGTGCAATGATTAGTCAGTTCATATCTAATCACTCTCGTCTTAAGGATTAAACGAAAGGCCGAGTTGACCAAGTCCGCATGTCGGCAACATACTCCTACGTGTGAACTCCAACGAGTTACACCAATTTCAAATCCAATCGGATTTTCTGCTCTCGTGATTTTGGCAGAAACCTCTCTCGAGAAGCAAGTTGTAAGTGAGGTTGAAACTACAAGTTTTTTGGCTAATGCTAAGGTGATATCGGACAATTGGAGACATCAGGTTGATATCGGACCATAAAGTTTAAAAGATGGGTTATTTCTAGATAAGACATTATCAAATCTCATATCCTGTTCCCAGGAGAATAGTGTCCAGTTGCGATATGTCTATTCTATTTAAATCTTCCGTGGCCCACCGCTGCGATGTGGTCACAAATGCTAACGCAGTCAACGGCTTTCCTGTGAGTGGTTGCTCAGGGTACCGTGCATGCTAGTCCCGGTTAAATAATGTAAGATGAAAATGTTAATGCTCATCGCTTTGTGCGTGTTGACGGCTTAAGCAGTGGGTATATATTCACCCTCCTTTACGTACTCTGTGATACCCTTCCAACCCAGAGAAGGCAACTCGCATCCTGGCAAAAGGCACTGCAAACCCCAGCAGGCATATCTTCTACCTCGACTCTCAAATTCTCCGCAAGGATGTCAGTATCCTCTTGTTGCCTCAAGGCGGTTGAATGGGACGGCATCCCAACTGGATCTGTGGGGAAGCTTGCCAACAACAACGCCTACATCACCGGCAATAATCCCGATGTGGCCGTGATGATCGTTCATGATCTGCTTGGCTGGACTTTCCCCAACGTACGCTTGTTAGCAGATCACTATGCACGACAAGCTAACGTACCGTCTACGTCCCTGATATCCTCGGTGGACATGTAGTGCCATTTGAGCCCGTGCTCGCTGGCAGGTTTGACCTTATATCAACCTCGCATCCATCATGAAGAACAACTCCCGAGAAATACGTGAGCCTGAGATCTTCGCATGCGCAAAAGCGTTGCGACAGAAAAGCTATAAGAAAGTCGGCGCGATAGGATTCTGCTATGGAGGCTGGGCAGTTTTCCGGTTGGGTGCCAAGGGACATCAACCACCACTCATCGATTGTATTTCAACAGGCCATCCCATGCTCTTGACAAAGAAGGACATCGAAGAAGTCGCAGTTCCCGTACAGATTCTGGCACCCGAAATTGATCAATTATATACCCCTGAGATGAAACAGTTTACCTGCGAGACCGTTCGGAAGTTGGGGCTGCCGTTGGATTATCAATAATTCCCTGGCGTGGAGCATGGTTCTTTTGTCCGTGGTGACGCTAAGAAACCCGGGGAACGGGATGCGATGGTGAGAGCCAAGAATGCTGCGGTTAGCTGGTTCAAGCAGTTTTTGTGTGATTGATAAGGATGGGTGGAATTTTTCTAGATGTCCTATCAATACTTCTCTGCGTGTTTCTTTAGGAGAGTTAGTTCAGGATAGCTATATAGTAACTACACACTGTTCTTTGTGGGCGTGGTTTTCCAAACACTTATCTATGTCTGCTTTAGCAAGAGCAGTTAACAGTTCCAACTTAAATCATTTTGATATACTTCTCTCTCTCTCTCTCTTTTGCATCTGTGAAGAATACTGCAGCCATGCGGTGCTCTACTCCTACATACGTAGTACTGGAATATTGATGATATAGACTGTAAAAAATCTCAAGTCACAGACTTTCATAACTGTCCAATAAAATATAAGTAACGCAGTAAACTCTAGGTAGACACCATATATTATTAGATCAATTTTACTGGCTCTTTGGAAGAAGTAACAAGTTCCATGGATGTTCAACTTGCCTCTCCTGGTTAGCGTCGCCGCCAACACTTGCATCTCCAATAACGGAGCTTCGACTTCTCCATCCCTCTCCAACGTCTGTCTGCTATTGACAACATCAATTCATGGTTACAATCCTCAAACCACTTCCGGCATTTCAAATTCAGATAGGGGTGCTATGTGGTATTTATTGTAACTTTCGCAAGAAAATCACACTACCCACACCCCGCCACCGCGGTTTAGCAATGACGACACGCACCCGCAGCACCACTCTCCATGTCCCCAAAACCACACCGAACACAAGACCTTCAAGGACAAAGCGATCCATTGATGATTCTCCAAGCTCCCCAGCACATCCATCCAAACGATCTAAACCCTCCCCCACCAGCAATCACAGCCATAATAAAATCAACAGCCCCCGCGCAAAGGGAACATCTAACAGAGCGGAGATCGAAGCTGCTGCAGCAACTGCAGAAGTTGAACATCCTGAGACAATTACCGTGGAAGAAAAGAGTGTTCATATATTGAAACGCGGCTCGAAAAGAAAAGTGGCTCCGCCTGAGCTTGAAGAGTATGCTATCGAGGAAGACGAGGAAGAGGAGATTGAAATAAAGGCTAAAAAACAAACGAAAAAGACAAAGGTAAAAGAGGAGGTCATTATAGATATGAGACCGCTCGCTCCCCGAACTGCAAATCTGCGGATGTATGTAGGGGCGCATATTAGCGCTGCGAAAGGTATGTGATCCTTCTATAAATGGATGTCCATAGTTGTTCTCGATTTTCCTATCTTTCGTCCATTTGTAACCATTTCTAAGAGGTAACTGCTGAAATTACTATCATATGTAGGAGTCCAAAATGCCGTGACGAACAGTGTGCATATCGGGTTAGTATTTCACCACGGAGCTTCTTTTTTACTTCCCAGTTTTATACTTAAGAACCGAATATTTTTCAACTAACGGCCTGTATATAAAGTGGCAACGCTTTTGCGCTGTTTCTGAAATCTCAGAGAAAATGGGATAATCCACCACTCCAACCTGAACATCGAGACCAGTTTCGGCAACTTTGTGCAGAACACAATTACGATGCCTCAAAGTAACATAGCATATGACTTAAAACTATCAAACGGGAAATATGCTAACTCGGATCCAGACATGTTCTTCCCCACGGCTCGTATCTAGTTAATCTAGCACAAGAGGATCCAACAAAAGCCACGCAGGCATACAATTCTTTTCTTGATGATCTGAAGCGCTGCGAAGAGCTCGGTATATCCCTATACAACTTCCAGTATGTTTAAGATCTATATTCCCTTTTATCATGAATTGCAAGGAACATCTAATATTCGACCTTCCATAACAGCCCTGGTGCAACCATTCAGACCACTTTGGAGTCTTCCCTATCTCGACTCTCAAAAGCCCTTACGTCTGCCCTAGACGCTACCACCAGAGTCATCCTGGTTCTAGAAACAATGTGTGGACATGGAACCACGATTGGCGGTTCCCTGTCGGACTTCAAGAGCCTCCTTTCTCTAATTCCAGACACCTACCACGCTCGCATCGGAATATGCGTGGATACGTGTCATAGTTTCGCTGCGGGATACGACCTCCGTAGCCCTGGTGCTTGGAATAAGTTTATGAAAGAATTCGACGAAGAAATAGGCTTGAAATTCTTACGGGCTCTCCATCTGAATGATTCCAAAACTCCACTGGGTAGTCGACGAGATTTACACGCCAATATCGGGACCGGATTCCTAGGCCTCAGGGCTTTTCATAACGTGATGAATGAAAAGAGATTGGAGGGCATTCCGATGATATTGGAAACCCCTATTGACCGGCCTGCCAACATTGAAGCCGAGACCGCCAGTGGACAACCTGATGATGAATTTGGAGTATGTAAGGAGGATCATTCAATCCCAACGCCTACCACCAAGAAAACCGGTGGTGCTAAAAAGGGCCCTGCTAGAAAACAAAAACCCAGCAAACCCGCTATGATTGAGGATAAATCCGTATGGGCGAAGGAGATAAAACTTCTCGAATCTCTGATTGGGATGGATTTGGAAAGTGAAGAATTCCTTAGACTGGAGGCCGAATTGGCAGAGCAAGGGAGGGAAGAAAGAGAGAAGCACCAGGCGATGTTTGATAAGAAACAGGAAAAGGAGTCGAAGCAGAGGGATCTGAGAGATATGTTTGGTGCGAATGGAAAGGGAAAGGGCAAAGGGAAAGCTAACACCACGGGAGCTAGGAAACGGAAGAAGACGGTCAATATGGAGAGTTCCGATGACTCGGATTAAGACTTACACTTGCGAAATCGAGAGGATCACTTTTGTCTTGCATGCCTTGACATCTTGTATTTTTTTATTTTTTACTTTTTATTTTTATATACATGTTTTCTTTTATTTTCTGTTTTTTCAATTAAGGGGTTTATTCCTTAGTTTTCTTCCAGCCGGTTTTCATACTGGAAAAGGGTGAAGCGTATCTATGCTCCCCTCACTTATCAGGCCTTGATGATAAATTTTGGCCCTCTTACCACGTTTGACGCAATATATTTTCATGAAGAATCTCTAGATGGTTGATGGGTAGCTCGAATCTTCAGCCCAATTCTTCTAATATCCCGAACGCCAGATTTCAAACCGGTGAAAGGAGGAGAAAGCCTTTATCAGGATTGAATATCTCAACCATGAAGAGAACCCGCTAGCCTGTCGGTGGGGAAATTTTCCAAATTTGACACCATCGAGAGCAGGCCTTTAGAGCCTGGAGGTAACATGCTTCCTATATATCTTTCACAATCAACATATCCCATTCCTGAATTGACATTGCTAGAAGCTTCTAGGGCTTTGCTTCATTGCCAATCTATAAGCAAAATCTTTGTGATTGCACGGCCGAAGGACTCCTCTTTGCGTGTGGCTCATATGTTTCAATTAGAAACAACACAAACACCTCTTTTAAAAAAACAAACGACAGCCGTCATTCGACAAACCTACAAGATGAGGTTGCCGGAGACCGCCCCTTGGTTAACACAACCTACCTAAACAGTTCATGGAGGGGGCATTCTCCCTCCAACAGCAGTGGGAGTGGTCGCCAGCATCATCGCTGAGTCTCCGTGGCGCAATCGGTTAGCGCGTTCGACTGTTAATTGAGAGGTTGGAAGTTCGAGCCTTCCCGGGGACGGCTCGATTTAATTTTTTTTTTCTTACACGACCAATGCTATCGTATTTTGTTCGTTAGGGGTTTCAGGATATTGGGTTCTGGAATGGCGAATAAGAACTTATTGAAACACCGTCAGAGCCGTGGTACATGTGGGGATATCTAGTTAACTAGTGTTCAGATTACAAAAGCGTAAATTGCTCAACGCCTAACATGGGGCCAACAAGATTAAATTTTTGGCGTTGTTGGATTGATTGCGATGTGCGAAATCGTGCGTTGTTAAGGGATATTCAGGATATGAAACTCTTTCATTTAAAATTATACGGTAGGGAGAAAGGACACGAAACAAGGCGGATGTCTATTTTGATATCGAAGATGAAAGTATGAAAAGGACGATATGGAAGAATGCACAGTGGGTGGCCATCAAAAAGAGATAAAAGAGGTATAAAAGTAGGGACAAAGGAGAAATTTTGTCAAAGATTCGTCTCTCTGCTCTAGAATCCATTACGACCGATCAACCAGTTACTCCTTCATTTGCTTACTCGCGGAAACACACCAATTATTCCAATCCGAAAAGAACGACGGCTGCACATGGCATTTCTTGCTCGTAAGCTGTTTTTTGCGTGTATCGCCATAGACATCTACAATATCCGGCAAGAAGCTCTTATCATGCGCTACGAGAATTTTCACTAGCAGCAAACTTGCCTGACTACACGATGACGCATGACCAGCAGGCGCACTACGAGTAGCTTCCTGATGCACTGCTTTCAGCAGCTCCCAGACAGGTTCCGCAGATTCGATGATGGGGATGTCGACCGTTTTCTTGCACTGTTTTGCATATTCCCTAAGCACATTTCTAGCGCGAGTGGCAATCTGTTTGACTTTTGATTTGCGACTGAGCTGCAAAAGCGGCATGAGAAGGTCGAGTGCAAGGATTCCTGAATGGCATTTCTTAACGTATATCTCCAGCAGGTCGAGGACGCGGGTTTTGAAATTGAGCATGGTCTCCCTTGCGTCCTTTTTCTCTTGCTTTTTGTTTTGGGCTTGCTTGCGTGCGCGGAAGAGGTTTGCTATTTGGCCATCGATGGCTTCCATTTCATCGTCGTTCATGGAAGCGTCATCTGAATCAGATGAGGCTGGGCTCAGAACCTTGTCAGCTCGATGAGTCCCTAATGCTTGAGAGAGTTTTTCTTCAAAAACTTCCAGTTCACCATCATCTGCTTCTTCAGAATTGCGATTTTCTGTCTCATCTTCGGATTCGTCGTCCTCTTCTCCGGAAGAGGCCTGGCTGATCTCCTCAACATCGTCATCATCATCGTCATCATCATCGTCATCTTCTTCGGAGTCTTCAACATCCACCATTTCAACATCACTGCCAGTTTCTTGGGTTTCAAACATCTCCTCTTGGCCTGCCAAGGTGTCCTTTGCTTCAAGCACCTGTTGAGTAAATGTCAGTATATCGCATGTTTAAATTAGTTTTGGCTAGACATACATCAATCAAGGATTGAAGCCCAGTCGCTGTGACCTGGTCAGCGAAGGCTCCAAATACTTGTTCACTTGTCCGACGGAACAACTGCGATTGTTTTGACGCGAAACTAAGTAGGATTTCCACCAGCGCATCTGACGCCTCTTCCGCTTTGTCACAATCTGATTTGTGGCCCAAGAATTTCGAGTAACAGAATTTGAGTTCATCCAGCATGGAGACTGCATCAGCATCTCCATTGTACACTAGCAATATGGTCATTGAATACAAAAGCTTAAACGCTTGGATGCTAGGCCCCTTCTTCTCAGTGCGTTCTTCCTGTTCCAGGTCAGAAATTAAGTCTCAAATATCAAAGAAAAAAAAAAAAAAAAAGGGAGCGCTGAGGATGTAGTCTACCTTGTGTGTCAATTTCTTCAGTGTTTTGAACGCTGAGGCAACAGATTCATTGATGTCTTTACCCATTTCTATGACAAATTTGCCCCAATCCCCTGATGCGTCCATTTCATGAATCTTTCGGACGACGCTATAGGGGACAGCCACCGAATTTTTGCGGCCGCTGATGACGACATTTAGGCAGGACATTATCCTATTACGAAAATATTCCTGGGTAGCTTCGGTGATTGGGGGCTCCGGTATGGTTTGTTTGAACTTGCTGTTCTTGTCGGTCACAAAATATGCAAAACGAGCCAGAAGAAGCAAAACACTCTCAATTGACGCCCGTAGCTCGTCAGACGCCGCAGTATTATTAATGACGGACACCTGTGTTTTCACAACCGAAAGCAGATGACTGGCAAGTTGGTGTCGAGTCGACGCACCAGCTTTTGCATCACGCATGCCGGGTCTGGCAATCATGTGTTCAAAAAGGGGAACAATATCTTTCAAAGAATTAGCAGTGATGGCAGATATCATCTTTTCAATGGTTTTAGTCTTGGTAATTTGATCGAAGTTAACTGCTCCTGCGGGACCCATTAGTCCCTCGAGAGCAGGAACAATAAAATCTGGCTCCTTTCCCACGCGTGCTTGGATCGACTTCAGGGCTTTCGTAGCTATCCGGTGTAGATACCGATCTTCAACAGCCAGCTGGTTCATGAAGGATCGCATGAGGTTTTTTGTGAAGACCAATGCAGCAAGATGTGCGGGTGCTTCGTTCATAACCTTCGCAAGAAGAAGAAATCCCCAATACTTTCGTTCTTCAGAGGATGCTGCAGCAAATAATCCATCTATTCAATGTTAGAGTACATTATACATGCAATACTTAGGGTTGAACTCACTGTCAATGACCTCAGTCCAAAAGTCCGTGAAACTGGCCTGTGTGTCTTTTGAATTCTTATCATTTAGAGATCCATTCAGCTCTGTCAATTGTGCATACAGCTTCTGAAGAACAATATCCCACGTGAAATGTAATTTTGGATTCCAGACGCCGGAATTTTTCGCTACACCATTCTCCTTCCCAGGTTCTGGCTCCGACTCTGACGTTTCTTTCATTATTTTCGCAAGTGTTGCTTTTTCTCGAGCGTCAAGAGGACTGCCATGTTTCCATACTCCTTCAGGGAATTTCATCGCTGGAAAGAGATCTTTCGCCACAGTCCATATAGCAACCCCTTCTGGTGTTTTGGCGAGGCCGTTCTGGCAAAGGGAGTCTAACGCAGCCTCAACATATTTAACATCAAATTTGTGAGTCTGAATGTCTCGTAAAGAGCAGAAAATTATCCAACCACATTCTTCGCGTAGCCATGGTTTCTTTTTGGCCAAATCGAATAGCATGGAAAGAATCTTACTCCATTCTTCGAACGGAGTTTGAGGCTGGAATAGCACGGAGGACTTGATGATAGCCTCCGCTCCAAAAATTCGACCAAAATAGTGGTCTCTCTCCTCCTGTCATCCAGGTGAGCAAGGGGTTATTGATTTTTTTGAAGAACATTGAAAGGGAAGTAAAGTGATTCCGCACCTGTCCGGATACAGAACCCCCAGGATTCGATTGAGTTTCCCAAATTCCAATTGTTTTCGAAACATCTAAATTCGACGAAGACAGATCTCTAGATGATGAGAAAACTTGAGCCAGCGTTTCCGTCAACGCAATTGAGAACCCGATTCGTGCGGCCTTTCGGCCGCTACAGAGTCCACGAAAGAGCCGCTGTAGAGTTTTTTCGATTTGCTCATCCATAGGATTCCGATCGGGAGTGAATCGAGATACTAGATCTTGAGCCGCCTTTAATCTAATCTCGTCATTCTCGTTGGCCAGGTCTTCGTAGATTTCTACAAGCTTGACGTCCACATTGACGGGTTCGCGACGTCTTTTTTTGGAGGCAGGTGGCAATGGAGCCATAGCTTTTTCGTCTCTTTACAGAATGGAAAATGACAAAAACGCTTCTATATACAAGAGCACTCTCTTTTGATGAGCTGTTGCAGGCTTGGAGAAGTTCTGATGTATATAAACTGTTGTCTGGAGTGCCCGTCGAGTCCAAAAATTTTCTCCAGGTTCTTCCCATAGCTCCTTGTCTTAGCAGCGCCGTTGTGCACTCTCGTGGAACAGAAAGGAGCCTGCTTTATTTTGCGCCCAAAAAAACTTCGTCATCATGCCCCTGTGGCGCAATCGGTTAGCGCGTTCGACTGTTAATCGAGAGGTTGGAAGTTCGAGCCTTACGGGTTTCCTTTAACTTTTTC